ACCTCCTTGTATTTCTAGATCCCATCAAACCTTTCATCCCCTGTTAAGGAAARCAGTGGAGAATTTGTGCTGACCTCACTAATGTGTGTAAAGTACCATCCTCYTCCTCCCCAACATGTCCCTAAATGGTGCTTGGCACCATAACATTCAGTTCTGTTAAAAGTAATGCTACATTGTCTGCTCATTTTCTTTGTTTCTTCACATCCCAACAGTAATTTAAATATATATATATATATAAATATATATATATATATACATAACAAATCATAATATAGATAGTGTAAAAGGATTTTTTAATCCCCCCTCTTCTTTTTTTTTTTCTTGTTTGTTGCTGATAAAATTCCACTGACATGATCTTTTCACATGATCTGGTAACACCCAACAGCCATTCTGTGTTGGAGGGAATGATGTTTTAAATATTCCCTCTGCTAAATATCAGCAACAGTTGAAAGGCGGGGGGTGCAATATCCCATTCCATTTTTGCTCTGAAATCTTGACTTTGAGACTGGCAGCTGGGAAAAGGCAATTCCCACATTGCAGAATCAGCCAGCCCAGCTCCTATCATGTCCTGGAAYGAAAGCAGATCATTTCAGCAGCACTCCCAGCTGTGCTTAAGGCACAAGGAATAGAAGCACCACCATTTGTTCTTGCCTTGCCAGCAAAAGAAGTAAATTTTGGGATGTGCTCTGGCGGGTTTGTGTTTTGTTACCACTGTGGCCCAGGCTGAGGCAGGGACTGCTTACCTGTGCAGCATTCCCAGCCCAGGCCAGGTCCCAGAGGAGCTGTGTACAGGCACCCACCCTCTGAAACCACGTAATCTGCTCCCCTGGAGGGCCCTGCTTCCAAAAGGAATCTGCAGAGATGGGCTGGGGTCACTCACCAGCACCTTTTTCTTATGGATTATTTGTTCTCTCACTCTCTCGCTGTGGCTGCAGCCTGTATTTGCATGTGGTGAGACCCTGCTGTGCCTCCCCTCCGGGCTCTGTGCCACAGGGGGACCCAAAATGCCGAGTGGCAGTCTCATGTCACAGCCCCTTTGCTCTCCTGKTTCATTATGCCACCCCAGGGTCACCAGGCATCCTCTGCTCTGCTCCTCTTAACCCCACCACCCAAAGTCTTGTGGGCAAAGCCAGGCAGGGTGGTTCAAWACAGAGCAGATGAAAACCATCCTCACCTGTCATTCTTTTATCTCCCCGCTCTTGTCTGGCTGACATTCTTCCCAAGCCACTCAGCAGCATGGGCCATGTTGTATTTATCTGCAGGGGAGGTCAAGGACAGGAGTCACATTCCTGAAATGCAGAAGTCRCAGTGCAGTTCAGCCTGCAGAGGCAAAACCAAAGATGGGGCACTGACAGTGGAGACCCGATGCTACAGACAGCATTTCCCTGCTCTGAATCAGAACACCCTGGATTACTGCTGCTTTCTCCAAGTTTATTATCAACTCTCCTGTCAGTCAGTTTGCAGTGGTCTGAATGAGGTTTGTCATTATCTTTTGATACCCATGAAATTTTTTACACCTTTTAGTGGCCCCTGCTTCTCTCTTCTCAAAATAAAAATCGAAAAAACAAAAGAAGCAGCCTGTACTTTGTCCATAAATAGCAACTTTCAATTTTTTATCATGCCTGGTGTCTCCTGTACCCTTTCCAGTTCTTCAATACCCTTCCTGTGTGGTCTCCCTGGCCTTTTTGCAGAGTGTAATTATGCTTGTATACGACATCCTGCAGCACTAATGAGGCAAAGAATGCCTTCCTCCCTCTCTYTTTAGAATAAACAGTGCATAATGTGGCCAGCAGGACCAGGGCAGTGATCACCCCCTGCACTGGGCACTGGTGAGGCCACACCTCAAGTCCTATGTTCAGTTTGGGCCCCCCAGGACAAAAAMGTGCTGGAGAGTGTCCAGAAAAGAGCAGTGAAGCTGAGGAAGAGTCTGGAGCACAGTTCTGAGGAGGAGCAGCTGAGRGAGSTGTGGGGGGCTTAACCTGGAGAAAAGGAGGCCCAGGGGGTGCATTATCCCACTCTACAACTCCCTGGCTGGAGGGTGGAGCCAGGTGGAACTCTTAGAAAGAGTTATGGAAGAAAATAAGAGATGGAGCAAGTTGAGAGGCAGATTTGTTTCCTGGCTCCCACACCCATTTTACATGATCCTGGCTATGMYGAATCTCTGATGAASCAGCTGTAGATGCTTCATGGTGTCATCAAAGGAAAGTGCAGGTTCAGTGGTGGGAAGGTCAAGGAGTGAAGGTTGTACAGTCCATGCATTTTTTTTTGGCTCTGATCCTGTTAATCACAAAATCAGTAGCTGGACATGCGATCAGAATAACGAGCTGAGAAAATGTAAAGTCTTTTATCTGTATTTCTGTAACTACCAGAGAAATCATAAAATGTAATGCAGCTGTCTCTAAAGATCATGCAGGAAACTCCTCTTTGCCCAAATATAATATATGTCACCTTCCAAGAGAATGCCTAGTTAATTTTGGATCTACACCATCAGTCATCCATGCAGTTCATCAGTATCAGGGGTACATTTCCTTGGAGTACAGGCATTAGGAATGCACAGGCCATCATTGATCAAATCTGAGGCCTCCTTGGAAGTCAGAGGAGAAGCAATTACCTTGCAGATGTGATAAGACAATCTATYACATAAAAAGGTGTTCCTACCAGACTGAGGGGAAATTTGTAGCTAACAGCTTGTACAACCAGAATCCCAACATCATACAATGGCACATTAAAGCTTGAGAAAAAGTATCTCAAAGCACAGAGTGGAAATATATGTGTGTGGTGTGGCCTTCATCCTGGAGAAGAAGTACAATTATCACAGTTACAGCTCATGAAAATGAGCCCCAAGGACCTGCTCATGTATGCAAGACATTCAGCAGGACAAGAGTTTGCAGTAATGGTGTTGGGCAGGCGTGAAATGGTGTGGAGAGACTCAGTTTTGAAAGGACAAGCAATTAATTGTGTTGTAAAACTGACTGCAAAGTTTCCTGCTCCTACTTTTAATACCTCGGCAGCCACCCAGTTCAGACAACTATCTCTAGTTAATCTGGAAATTAAACTAGATAATCACAGCCAAGTTAGATAATTCCAGACTCAGAAACTGTTCTTCATTATGCCCAGATTAACCCACAGGGATTTAAATGATGTTGCAAGTTATTTTTAACTGAGTTATCACTAATCTCCCTCTATACTTTTTAGACTATATATATTAAAGTTACACTGTCAGAAAACCTGGGGACGATTATCTTCCAAAAATAGATGACTGCAAATGGGATGTAGGACTTCTTTTGCCAGATCATGGTCATTTTGGGGCTCCTCCCCACTTCACAATTTTATTTCTGTTAAATTCCTCTGCAAGAGCTATGGAGGACATGCAGCCTTTAGGACCATGTATCCCTATGGCAGAGTCCTCAGTGATTCCCTGGCTGAAGGATGAGGTTGCTCAATGTAGGTATTTTTCATCCACAGTCTTGGAATGGGAAATGTTTTGTTTTTTTTTTTACTCCTCTGACTAGTTTTAGGAATCTTACCGACTCTTCACAYGTGCCTAGGAGTGACTGCTTTGTCAGCCATGTAGAGGGGCATTTGAAAAGAAAGGAAATCTCTAATTGGGCTGCTTCCTAAGTGCTTGGGGTCACCTTGAATCATTGGTTTGGAAGTAAAGACCTGAAGGAATTAATGGGTTTCTCTCCAATAAAAAAAAGTCAAATCCCAAAACCCCAGCAAATGTGCTTCCCAGGCCAAGTGTTGGGAACAATTCCATTGCTCCACTAAGAGATGCAACCTAATCAATCACCAAGATCCCTTCCTTTCATCCCTAACYAGAGCTCCAGAGCTCAGCAAAGGACCTACACAACAACAGCACAAGGCTGGTAAAGGCATCTCAGCATCTCTTTTCTTGGCAGAAATTCCTGTATCAGCCTGGTAGAATCCGTCTGTTTTGGGAAACAACGGATATGTCAAACATTCTGGCAAAGCCCGGGAGAAATGACATTTCAATGATGTTGAAAAGAAAATTATCAGAGAGAGATTAGTTTGTCTGACAGTATGTCTTTATGCTTTCCACTGAAGAAGAACAGGAATCCTTTCATGCATTTTGAGTTTACTCCTGGTGTGAGTCAACTGCTGTCAGTAGGGCTGTAAGTGTTGCCAGTTTAGGAAAATGAGTGATCACTGCTACCTGGCATCTGCCCCCTGCACACCTCAGAGCAAAAAACATTCCAGGAACTGCCTCTGCTGCCAGCAATGCTGGTTTTACACCATGGGTTGGGGTGTAGCATTCAAAACTCCTCCTGCACTGTCCATTAAAACATTTGCCCAAGGAGGCAGACGGTACAACCAAACACAGGTCATGGAAACCCCAGAGTGTGGTTTTGGGTGGAAAAGAGGTAAGGGAGCAAATGGTGCCTGTTAACAGGAGTGGTGGTCCTGACCCATTTCTCACATGATTTTGCAGGTGAATTACCCTGGGCTGCCTGGGGCCATCTGTCCCTGCAGGACACAACAAAACTCAACCATCCCCTGACTGCTGTGGTGTTGGAGCTCGTGCAGAAGCAATAACCCCTGAAGCAGAATGATGCCACAACTGCTCTCCAAAAGAATCCTTCAACAGATGTGTATCACACACTCACCATCCTTTCTCCTCCCAAGTGTAAGACATCCATGAGYTAAAAGCTCAGATACAAAGTATTGCCCAGAAGTTTCAGGTCCTTTTTCTGATGCTCAGGTACCCAACACAAATGACAGTGGTATGGATTTTCTCTGAAACTCCTGCTCTTCTGCACTCCATTCTGGCAACCCAAAGGTGGCAGCAACCCAACTGAACTCGTGGGTTGTGTCTTTGCTGAGAGCAGGCAGGATACATGARGGAGCAGGAATGGTGTCACAAAAGGAGCCATGAAAAGTTTGCCTGAAGCAYAAGGAACCAAAGAAAGAGGGAGCTGCAATAACTGTAGATGCCCTTCAGCTTGCTTGACCCTCACCTCAGACCACGCTGACCTCATTGCTCACCACAAAACTGAGATGCATTCCTCAGCCCACRGCAGCATCACCTCAGTGAGACAAAAATAAAACCCACTGAAAGGTTTTATATAATAGCAAGGCTACAAGATCTCTAATGCAGTTTTCCTGTTGGAGCAAGAGCCAAGTACAGCTTAAATTCATTAGCAAATGGCCTGTGACAATGAAGGACAAAGACAATTATTATGCACATTTCCCAGCTGATTGTTTCTGTGTGAAGAAAATGCAACAAATTATTGTTCTCCTTTATTAATGTACCATAAAGGATTACTATCATATCTATTTCAAAAAATCCCTGTCCCTTTCAAAATGCAGACAAATGCCAGGTAAATTTGATTTTTATAGATGAAAGCTTGGTGAAAAAGTCAAAATTTTATTAGGGMCATGGACAATCACATTACATTTTATATGATATGAGGACTTCACTACTGAATCAGGAAATTGATCTCAGGACATTTTTTTTCTAATGAAGGCTTACCAATTCCCTGAGTATCTCTCATGCAWCTCAAACACTTATCCTTGGATAGAATAGTCAGATGCATTCTTAATAGCTGCTTGTATTTATGGAAAAGTCAGAAGAAACACTACATAACACCATAGAATTGCAGAATCATTTAGGTTGGAAAAGACATCTGAGATCATGGAGTTTGACCTTTGAGCGATCACGACTTCATCAACTACACCAGAGCACTGAGTGCCACATCTGGTCATTGGTTACTGAATTCAGGAAGGCATTTGTCACCTGATCATGAAAGGAGAGCAGGTTGGTCAGGCAGGACCTGCCCTTCCCAAACCCATCCTGGCTGGGCCTGATTTCCTGCCTATATGCGTCGTGTGATCACACTCAAGATAATCTCCATAACCCTGCCAGGCACTGGGGTCAGGCTGACAGGCCTGGAGCTCCCCAGATCCTCCTTCCAAACCTTCTTGTGGATGGGTGTCCAACCTGCAGCCATCTGGGACCTCCCTGGTTATCCAGGACTGATGGGAAATGATGGAGAGTGGCTTGGTCAGCCCTTCCACCAGCTCCCTCAGTGCCCTCAAGTGAATCCCTTTCTGCCAAATAGACTTGTGAGCATCTGAATGGCACAGGAGGTCACTACCTGCCTTCTCCTGAATCCCAGGGCGTCTATTCTACTCCCCATCCCTGTCTGCCAGCTCAGGGGGCTGATTGTTCTAAGGATAACTAGTCTATYCTAATGTGAAATCCTAATTTCGCCACTTCCAACAAAATGTATGGTAGATCACTCTCCACACTTCTTGGAATATTTTAATGCTGACAGGTACAGAGAGCACTGAGGACAGGACGTGTCACCTCAGTCTGCCAACTCCTGYAAATTCAGATGAAGCAGGACCCAGGCAGACCCCTCACAGTTTCAGGGCTCCATTCTGTATTCCTGTAGGTGTGGAGCAGTCTGGCAGCCCTGACAAGAGGCTGCTGTCCTGCCCCATGTCAGAAAGGAGAGGGCTGATCCCATCATCCACTGGCAGCCATGGCTTCCTCTCATTTCCTGGGACAGTTTGAGATTTTCAAATTGCCTCTTTCCCGAAAGGTGCTGGATAACTATGTCAAACTTTTCCTAGCATTCAAGCAAATGACCCAGAACTTTTGTAACACCGAGCGAGCTTTGCAGAGGAGCACAAAAGGCCTGGCTTTAGGCACAGCATTTTCTGAAGTGGCATATTCTGGTAAGCATCCACCCATTGTTCTCAGAGACCATGGGGGACTACTCAGAAGGCCCCTTGGAGCAGGAATTCACCCTTCTTCCTCTCTGTACTCACTCCCAGTGTGTCATTCCAGGTGTCCCAGTCTCTCTGCAGTTAATGGGTCATTCACACAGGGCTGGACAAAACCCCAAACTTCCTTATCCTCCAGTGACAAGTGAGCAGAAAGCCTCCTTCAGCAAGGGCTTTGCAATCCATCCTGAAAAGAAAAAAGCTGAGGGGGAATTCTGAYGTCCCAGCATGGTCCAAGGGCTTTGAGATGTGCACTGCAAGGCTTTACCCCCTTGTTCCCCCCAAGTTCCACAACCCCACTTTTGTACATTTTCTCTTTGCAATGTGAGCCACTGAAGCTGTAMTCAAATGCACAACATGAATGATAAATATGGAGTGTTACAGACTATGAAATTCAATGTCATTTTTTTAAAGTCATAAAAACATTATCTGATTCCCAGTAGCCCCCCAGAGAGACTCGGGAATATGTTTATACACTAAAATGTCAAAATCATAAAGTGCCTGGTTTTGCACTATTTATTTTGCATGGTGGTGAAGTAGTTATTACATGACATTTCATAAATACAGTGACTCAGAAATAATTAGTGTGCTGAATAACAAGCTTTCCACTCTAATACAGCACCACACATTTTAAACCCCCAATTTTCACGAGGCAGTTGCACAGCTTAAAAACTACAAATAAAAGTGAACTCTGGGGGGGAAGAACAATGCTGCTGCTGGGTTTTGGTTTCTTTTCCTTTCAAGGGAGGTGTGCAGGGCTGAGGCAGTGAGCAGCAGTGACTGCGTTTCCCAAAGGGCAGGGACAAAAGAGGCAGCATGTCTCACTGTTATGACACAGGGGAGAGGTTCCAAGGGAGTATCACGTTAGCAAGATTAAAATTAACACGAATGCTGAACAAAATCCTTCCTTGAAGGAAGGAGATGATTTAAAATTGCTCGTAATTAATAAGGGAGAAACAACACCGCACACAGCCCTGCTCTAGCCAAGAAGTCTCCCAGATTTTCACTGCTCAGCTTGTAGTACTCCTACTTACTATTTTTTTAAAACACACAGTGGATTTTATTGCCTTTTTTAGCTATTAATAGGCAACCAATTATAAATTGTGAGTTGCAGCACTGGATAATTTCCCTTCAAGAATGCTAAGCAGATTCTGCACTGCATCAGGCCACGTGACAGCACAGCRACTACCATCCTCTCTGACTTTTTTTTAGCAGCAATTCCTAAACAGATGCTCAKCAGGAAAACTGGAGCAAGCCCCATCTTAGGACCTCCTTGTGATCCTGCTTTTTAGCTTGCTGGATGTTCTTCCTAAAAATAAAAGGAAAATCTAGGATTTTGCTGAAGTTCTCGAGAGTGGAGATTCASATGAACAACAGGAAATAACAGTAACATTTTTTTTACATCTTGGAGGCACTTGCCTTGGTTTCTCTCGCTGCTGTTGTGCTGGCACCACATTCAAAGCTTTTCTTGAGGCCTGTCAGAGGAAASAGGGCAAATTTCAGGTGCAAGGTTAAAAAAAGAAAAGAAAAATAAAGAAGGCAGTGTGAATTTTGATTTCATGCAGACACAACGCACCTCCTGCAGCAGCACTGGCCCTGTGGTGGAGGAGCCATGCTGATGGAAGTTTTTGCTACATTGAACTTCCCTCTCCCCATTTTTTGTTGCTCCTGGGATAAGGTATTTCCAATAAAACTATCCTTCTGCTGAGTGAAGGTGTAATTACTGATAGTTATTGATGCTCATCAATAAAAGCATTAATTGGGGCCAAGATGAAGCTTAACAGGCTGTGGCTCCACCAAGTCCAAGCAGCAAGTGCTGTTCCTGAATGTGAACTTGAGCATAGAAGAAACTATGGATGAGGGTGCACAGTAAGTGTTACTATGCCTGCTTTACACCTATTTTCTGTTAAAAATCCCTTCACTGTGTGGAAAAATRCTTCTCTATACTGAAATGGAAAAAYTGCTGAGGCCAGGCAGTACATTTTATTGTTTTGCCACAATCACAGGATTATGGTAAATCACAGGATTATTTGGTGGGTGTCAGGACTGGGTTTTGGCTGGGGCAATCTAATGCACAGAGATCCTACAGGGTAACACGACCTCAGACATAAAACACCGAGCTGAGGCCAGAGCTGTGATATCCAATTCCCTTTGTTTAGGAACTGCAGTCAGCATTTGTAACCCATAACAAGGAGTTTCAAAACAGCCTCCAATGTTTGTGAAACCCACGGCCGGATTTGAGTGTCAGGGGAGCTGAGGACACTCCAGGGATCTTGCTGCTGTGCTGCTTTGTGGTTTCCAGCAAGATGTTGGTGTGTCCTTTGGCCTGCTCAGCTCCAGAGATCCTTTTCCTCTCAACACCTCCACATCACCTTTCAGTCGACAGTGATTAAAAAGAACTTCCAAAAGTGTTTGCAGTTTGTCACAGTCTACATTTGAAGATAAACTCACAGTATGAGAAAAAAAAATCCACTCAAGTATAAAATATCCAGATTAATTCCTGGTCCTTGTTTGTTCTTTCTTTTTTTTATCCTTCACTCACTCCATCGTTCATCAGAGGTCCAAACTGAACTTCTGAATGTGTGACAACGTGATCCATCTAAGAAACTTAATTCAGAAGCAATGACTTTTCTTGCTTTCATTTTTTCTTTTCCTTCTTAGGGCCCAAGAATGTTCATGGGAGCTTGCTGAGGAACCATTTTGATTTGCCTGTTTGTGTAAAAATAATCCATGTTTCCTTGACATGTTGAGAATACAACATGCCAGGAATAACTTGCATACTTTGGGAGGTCTTTCTGCTTGTGAAAGCCCAGCATGCTACTGGCTTTATCAAGAGGCCTAAAACATGCTTGTGGAACTTGAAAAAGGCTTTTCAATKACTAATACAGTCCATTTGTATGGACAGCTCATTAAATTAGCAGAAATGCTAAGCYTTACAAGAAGCAATTGCTCTCTTAYGCAAAACACRGAATGTGCTCATCYGGAAAAGGAAATTTCACATCCCCTYRCAAAAAGTGAAAYAACAGACCATCACAAACTCCTTCCAGACTCTTCTTATTTGGACATGCTCCATATTATATTCCCAGCCAGCATTTTCCTGGCCAGCACATCCCTCTGGGAGGTCCTATCTRCACTCACATCTCCACAGTTCCAGCCCCAGCCAGGCCCAGACAGAGAAGCAGAAGCTGAGGGTAACAGCATTCACTTTTACAATATCTGGCATTATATTTTGCAATATCTATCTTCTGTTGAAGAAGAGTATCCTGGAGTCATGGTCTGAAGGGCTGCCATGTCCATAGGGCTGAAAGGGTTTTATGCAGCTTTTTTTTTTGTGTAGCATCTCTAGGTTGCAGTGTTGTAACTTTAATGGTTACATGTACAGAGATGTTTCTTAAGGCTTACACTGCTTCCCTTGCTACCAGCTCTTTAAAGAGTTTACTTATTGCTGCTGGAAAATGCCAGGAAAATTGGGGATATTGCAACGTTTTTAATAGRAAATTTATCTTGCAGCAGCCTGCTCTAATGTGGTTAATGTCCCAGTGAATATCAGAAAATATAAGATGTTGGAGAAATACATGGAAACCTTGGGATCCCATGTGCTGTGTGGTTGCTTTTGTTCTTTTTTAGCAGAAGGATGGTAGCACTCGATAGAAGTCCATTTGTTGATGGACTGAGAGTACCTTGAGAGCTGCACATGCCCCTGGTGCTCACCCTGATCCCTCCCCAGGCAGCAGAACCCTCTGCTGGTATTTCAGCCCAGACCTTCCTGTGAACACAGAGATGGTGTTTGCAGTCACAGCTACTTACAACTTTTATACTGTGTGAAAATGAGCGCTCCTCACTCATTTCAGGTTCAGCTGAAAAGATCTTGAGTTTGATAACATCCTAAAACACATCTGGTTGTAGAACTGCAGACCAGGCCCTTGAAAAACCACAAAAAAGGTGTTTGGGTTAAGAATACTCTTGTGATTAAAAAAATACTGCGAGTTCTCAAGTGTTTGTTTAAAGAAAATAATTTTCATTAAAATGCTGGCACAATTTCAAGCAATTTGATTTTAATTTTGAAGTGTTGAAAATGCCCTCAGATAATTTCTGCAGCATTCCAGAGCCCAGAAGTGATAGTAGGAAGTAAGTTGCTTAAGAAATCAACAAGAGAATTCAAATTCATTTCCTGTTTTCTAAGAAAACAGAAAAAGGTCCCAGGCTCTTAAGTCTTTCTGAGAAATACCTTCTCACGAGCAGTTTTTGACCAGAAAAGCATGGTTTGCCCTTTTTTCCCTCAAACAAAACAAAGTTTACCCATTCAGAAAGCTTTCAGGAACCACACATGTCATACTAATACAAATAATTTACTGGACTTTGGTACCAAGCAAACGAAAGGCTGGACCTGAAAGGTTGGACCTGAAAGCAGCCTGAAGTCCATATTATGATTATAAAGGTGTTCAGTGATAAATATTTTACAGAATTTTTGCTCTGAGTTTCATCAAAGCAGCGGTCTGATCATTTCATGTTCTTGATTTTAGGATTTAGATGAGACATGCACCAGCACTGAGTTTCTGTGTCCTCGCCATCCCTGATATCCTGGCTTTACTGAATCCTGAGAGGTGTTCAAAATCACAAAGTTTTGCTGGTTTGGGCTCAAAGCCTGACTTAGCTTTCACTGGAGCACTCCTATTGGCACAAATTCTCTCAAATTCAAGCCTAGGCTTAGGAAAGCTTCAGTTCATTGACCTTGGCTGGAGCACAGCTCTTTCTCCAAAGAAACCAAGTGGAAYTGTGTGCCCAGCTCACCCCAGAGGAGTGAACAGCCCCCAGCCARGCACTTTCTTCAGCTGACATTTTGCTCCCAGCACCACTTGTGACAAGATGTCCCTCCATCCAGCAAGGAGATGCTGCAGCTTGCTGCAAGCACAGCTCTCACCTCATTTTGGTTTCAAGAAAGCAGATTCTGTAAAACATTCTGCCACTGGAAAGTTGGTTTCCATTTAGAAAGCATAAAAAAAATTGTAAAAAAAAAAGGAAATAATTAAAAAGACATACATGCCTCTGAGCAGGCTTTTGAATGCTCTCCTTTGTTAATTTRTACAGTTAACAGGCCTGAATATGACAACAAGCTTCCCATCAAGAGCATCCCAAACAAAAACTTCAATAGAAACTTTTCTATCTCACAGAGCCCTACAAGCTTCACAGTAACAACCATTTTTTTTATTTTATTTTTCCACATTTTTTTCTTTACTATCAATTGCATGCCTCAGGTGCTTGATGCTTCCCATGGGATACCAAAAAGTGGCCTTTATTTTGTGGGAGAGAGGTTTTGACAAATTAGGCCATTTCAGGTATTGATAAAAGGCACATAAAAACTTACATCCACAAAACACCTCCTTATTTATGGCAGCCAACAATTTTTATTGTTTAATCTCACTGCCATTCTCTAGATCTAGTGTCTACCCCATTTTTTCAGTTCTCCACAGCAGTTTTTGCTGGGCTTACCATAATCCTCACAATATCAACATACACTCACTCTTCACCAGCRTATTTACTTGGAGGCAGGTAAGAAATTAGAGATAATTCACTGTTGAATCACTTGATATAATATATTCTGGGGGTTAATCCTGAATGCATGTGGGCTGGGAAGAGGGAACTGTTTTGCTGGGTTTGGTCGTTTTCCCTCCGCTGTGCTTAGCACATGTGGTGAAGCAAAGGCAATAAATCAGAACAAAGGAAGCAAAGGCAGAAGGCTTTTGGGAACATGTGTTTGAGGAGAAAAACTTGGCTCACCACTAAAGCRGMGTTGCCTTAGAACGGATGTTTGAAATTCAGATGTAGAAAGAGACGAACAAAACTTTATAAATACAAGAGACTTGCAGTTTCACAGAGCCAGGAGGAGTCTGCTGAGACCCTGCTCCCAGCCCTGGGCAGGCAGAAACTGCTCAACAGAAGTCATAACTACCCTGAAGCAGATTTGCCAAGGAATTTGGGAACCTAGACACAAGGAGAGGTGCCTGGTGAGGTTTCCCAAGGCCTCAAGGTGTGTCAGGCCCTTTAGGCTCAATCCCTGAAATAGGAATTTTCCTTCATTGTCCCTCCAATCTCCTGAAGAACTTGGTTTGAGTGGCAAGGATCTGGCAGGATGGGGAGGCTGCAGGGGTGGTTTCTGTGGGAAGCTGCTGGAAGCTCCAAGACAGAGCTGCTGCTGCTCCAAGCTGGGACAATCAGGAATGATGGCACTGCCTCTGTGATAACACACTGGAGAAGGAAAGAAAAAAATCATTGGGCAGATGCAATTGCAGCCAGAGAAAAGCAGGCAGAGAATATGTGAGAGGAGCAGCTCTGMAGGACTGAGGTCAGTGGAGAAGGAGGGGGAARAGCTCCTCAAACCACCACACTTTTGAAAGGCCAAGAAGTGCCTCTCTGGTGTTTGGGCACCCAAATACCTCTGCAGTGAGTTTTCTATTTCATGACCCTTCCTCTCGTCCTGTGGGCYGCCCATGGGACTCCCAGCCAGGCTGGTGGCCAAGGGTCAGCACTGGACTGACCAGTGCTAAGGGCAGTAAAGCAATCTCAGCTGCTGGCAGGACACAGAAATCCCAGGAGGATGCCAGGGCTCCTGTTTGTCTGTCCTGGCCCTATTAACTTTTCAGGGTAAATGGTCTCTATTTCACTTAATGCAATAGCTTTGCTGCCAGTCTTCTGCCCATACACTTTAGGCCAAGTGGTCTGACATTAAATGTATCCTGCATACACTTGATTGTAACATTAATCTGCCTTTCCAAATTTTCTTTTTTTTTTTTTTTTCATTTTTTATCTTTCCATCTTAAAATAAAAACATACCACTGATTCCAAGAACCAAGTAGTGGCTAAGATGGGGTCTCTATTTCACTTAATGCAATAGCTTTGCTGCCAGTCTTCTGCCCATACACTTTAGGCCAAGTGGTCTGACATTAAATGTATCCTGCATACACTTGATTGTAACATTAATCTGCCTTTCCAAATTTTCTTTTTTTTTTTTTTTCATTTTTTATCCATTCCAAGCTTAAATAAAAGCAAAGCCCAGATTCCAAGAACCAAGTAGTGGCTAAGATGGGGTCTGTAGAAAGGAATAGAGAGGGAATAGAGCTAAAAATGGAATCAGGGAAGCATGGCTTGGGCTGATTAATGAGCTTACATCTGTGACGAGTGCTTACTATAAACAGCAGGTAGAGAAGCAAAGCCAGCAGCAGAAAGCTCTCAGGAGTGAAGGAGGTGGAGCTGTGGTCTCCCCACAGCAGCAGTGACTGCTGAGGACAAGCACAGCTCCTCCTCAGAGAGGCTTTAGGTGGGTGCACAGCAGGATAAAAAAAAAACAAAAAAACATTGGGGAACAGCAGAAATCCTTGCAGAAACCTGGGAGAAAAGAGGGATTACAAAAAAAAAATACAATTCCCTTCAGTAGAAGCAAAACAGCAAAGTCCTGACTAATGGTGCAGCCAGAAAGTGCCTGTGCTTTTACCCTCCTTCTCTGGGATTTTCCTCTAGCTGTTCCCACAATGTGGTTTGCAGCTGCCTGGCACACAGGGCAGCCCCAGTGGGGTGGAAAGAGAAGCACTTGGGAAAGATTGAGGGAATAATGATCAGCCAAAATGCAGTGCAATTCAGAGCAGCTGCCCTGCTGTATTCAACAGGATCCCAGCATGGCCATTCCTAAGGATAAAYGTGCAAATGAAGCCTCTGAAATCCTCTCGCTGGTTTAAAAACAGAAAAACACAAGCAAACAAAAAATWTCAAAGGAAAATAAAACCAAAATTCCAAACAAAAAAATCCCAAACCCTCATACTTTTAGCATTACATTGTCATGAAAACTGAAACTTCCTCCTTGTTCTCTGTTCCACAATCCATTGATCCATCCCTCTGAGGAAAGCTCAGAGTACAGTCAAGTTGTGAGAAAACAAAGAGGTAAAATTGGAATTCCAGAGGTGGATAACTATGGATAAACTCAATGCAGACTTTTTTTTTTTTTTTATAAATAAACTAGCCAAGAGGAAAGTACTGTTAAAACAAAATACCAATTTTAGACAGTGAAAATAGAAGCCAAGCTCCTCAGAGTCTTTAAAGAAAACTACTGGGTTACTCAACATAGCAAGTTGAACGTGAATAACTATAACTCTATGAATAACTCCAGCCCACTCCAGCTTGATTTTCCCTTGTTTCAGTGAAGAAAAAGTTTCCAGTGCTCGTAGCAACCAACTCAGCTCCCTTTGTTCCTGCTGGGCAGTTTTTGCAGCARTGCAGAGCAGATGCAATGGGGGTCAGGATCTGGCCCCCACACACACAAAGTTTTAAAGATTATCATTCAGCAGAAGCCACTGTAAGGAAGAAAAAATGCAAAGCCCAGAGCCTGAGTTATTTCTCTGACCCTGAATGCTATCAAACATAATATTTTATTTGGCTGGCTATAGAAAACATGTGGCAAAGCCTTCATTTTTGGGGAAAGTTCACCCTGTGACACGAAAAGGAAAGAAAAATAACTGAACTTCATTCTGCCTGCCTCTGCAATGCCCATCCCTGCACCACACAAGCTGCTCTCGCCTGAATTTTAAGTTCTAGATACATTGATAACTCTGTTTACTCTGCAGGAATGCCAGTGAGGTCCCAATCAAAGATTCACATCAAGATCTGCAGGGTAGGTGCAAACAGGAAAGCAGCCCCATGAAAAGTTTGTACTCCAAGAAAAATGGGAAGGTTCAAGATGATCAGTTTTTKAAAAGGACATGAAAAGTAGCAAGTTTAAGATGGATTTGAATAGTGAAACACATTCCCAAGTTCCAACTGTGTTCAGCAGCAGCAAAAAAATTGTTCAATGCTCAGGTGTCCGAGACCTGAGTCCAAGGCTGAGAGAACAGAGTACAGGACCATTCTGGAGGAAAACAAGCTTTGTACTCAAAGTTCCAGTTCCAATTCTGACCTAACATCAGGTCACCAAAATGGTCTTTCCTTTCTAAAAAACAAACAAACAAACAAACATTAAAAAAACAAACAAACCCAACAAAAAATGAGGAACAATTACCCATTTACCTTTCACTTGTGAACTCCACCAGCATCTCTAGGGGAGCCAAGGGGTGAGAGACATTACAGTGCACAGGAGGAGCAGAACAAGAGGGTTGTTTGCTGTTTTCCCATGCACACAGATGTTCCTGATGCACTCAACCCTCTACTAAACTCTACTAAACCTTCCTTAAGGATCTTGAACAAAGGGAAGGGTCCTTTTCCCAGCAGGGCTCTAAGCTGCCAGCCCTCTGGGCGAGTGAGAGTCCACTGCAGCCACAGAGGGGAGGCTCAGGCTGCCACCCTTCCCTCAGGAAGGCTGATGCTGTGCCAGCACCCACAAAGGGTGCACACACATGTTCTCTGCACTGGCTCAGCTCCAGGGATGCCTTTTTCCAGCTGAGGAGCTGAATCAAGCACAGATGGGGATAACCTTTCCAGCCTTTCCATCTGTTCCTGTTCACAAAATTACTCAAAAAAAGATATTTCTAAACATCTCCAAGCAGGTAGAGGGTTGTGATGGTTGGGGCAGTGTTGCCATTGCACTTCTTCCTTCATCAGGGGCAAATCCTTCAGCTATTCCCTAAAGCCTCTCCTCAACTGAGCCACCAGGGAGCTATAACTCACCTCCTCCTTTCCCCTGGAGACTGACCAGCTGTCCCCAAGCTCCCATCAGCAAGGGACAAGCCCTCTGTTGGGGACACCTGTGCCCTGCAGCCAGGACAGCACATTCTCAGTGGCTTTGCTAACCAGGGCGGCAGCAATGCCCCCTGAGCTGGGAGCCCGTGACTCAGCTGTGGGCTCGCTGCCACCCAGCAGCTGGCACTTGGCACAGGCCTGAGTGTGACTCAGGCTGGCAGGAGCCTTTGGAGATGCCTTCCCCTGATTTGTATCTGCAAGGGATCCTTTGTGTTCGGACCCTATTGTTGGCATGCCAGCCTCACTGTCAAAGTCTGGAGTTAATAAACTCCTCTTTCCCATCACAGCAGCTCTTCCCAGGCTGCAGCTTTGGAGGGCTGGCAGGGCTTGCTCCTGCACCGTCAGCCAGCACGGCTGCTGATGCTTTTTACCTTGCAAAAATCCTGGGATTTCACACGTAGGCAACCCCAGGGAAAGCCCAGGTTGCCTCCCTCTTGCTCCATCTCTTTATCTCTTTTGGTGGGGGGTTTGGAGCCCATGGTCTTACAGCCCTWCCCCTGGCACCAGCAAGTTGGGCTCACTCCGAGAAATGAGAAAATTTCAAAAAAGAAAAAACAAAAATACAAAAGATGGATGTGTGAGTTCATTTCTGGAGCTGTATAAATGTGGGATAATTTCTACCCCTCTCCAGAACCGGTGACATTTTACAGGGGGCAAAGGGACTCACACGTGGCATTGCAGCCTTCCTTCCATGGCAGATTTGTGGCTTGTTTGTGGGTTATCAGTCAAAATGGGTGGAAGCAACTTTCACTTCTCGGCATTCCCATAGGACAGGTATGCTTCAGAGCTGGCTACATTCCAGCAGAGTGATTCATTTACTTTAAGCCGTATTTTTGGCTTGTGTAAGSTGGATCGACATCAGTGTGGCTACAGCAGTTCACATCAGCCCAAGGATATGGCTCCACATTGTCAGGGAAAGATGCTCCGTGCTGGAAGGGTTTGAGCAGCTCCTCGGTGCTGCAGGCTGGAMCCTCTGCAGACAATGAGCCCTGCCTGGAGGATGTGGCAAGGCTGTTCTGCTTTGTGTCACCCTGGAGAAGAGAAGAGGCAGCTCTGGTCACAGTGAATGACAATGGGGAAACAAAATAAAACATTTTAGGACTGAAACTGGGAGCTGGGACTGGGAGAGAGCTGGAACAGGATCCAGAAAGCCCCCGATGGGAGAGGGGAATTGGGACAGCAGGATCAGACTGTGCCTCTGGTCCCCTCCAGGGGTGTCAACAGCTTTTCCTAGGAAGAACTKAAAGGATTAAAGCATCTCCATTCAGACACGCAGAGAAAAATGGGCAAGCACAGGATGGTGGTGTGTGACTGTAATTAACCCTTCAATGCTGGTCCTGTGCGGGGCTGGGTGCTCGAGGTGAAGTGATGTGTGCAGCCCCCACCCTGTTCGTGCCAAACTAACCTTCTCCAGCCCTTTGTGGAGATTTGTCCCTCAGCCAATCCCTCTTCCAAAAACTGGCAAAAATCTACACGCTACAAAGCTTGGAAACCGATGTGAGTAACACCCATAGCAATGTGAAGTGTCAAATATTGTGATTTTGTACAGGAACATTCACACAGGGAGAGCAGCACTCTTTGCAAAACAGGGCTCAGTGTAAGCAACCCCAATTTACACAAGGAGAACACAGAGACTAAAGGCTGCTGCTGCTACAATAAAACCAAACCCGGTGAATCCCATAAGCACTTTAAGAAGGATTTGGGCAGAATTTGGGTACCTTGGTTGAGAACTGGGATCTGGGAGCTCCATATTCCCTGCCTAGCCCTGGAAGTGCCCGAACTTGCCCGCTGCCTCCTGGTTTGACTCAGCCTCCCCAGGCGGCTGTGAAGCTGCTCCCAGGCGTGCTCAGAGCTGCTCCCATCCAACATCTCCCCTCCAGCTCTCAGGTGAGTGCTGCCATGSTCCGGCAGCAGGGCTGGCAGTGCTGTCCCCGTTCCCAGCAGGAGCCAGCCCGGRGCACAGTGRGGCACAGTGGGGCACAGCCCGCAGGTGATGAGCACCGCAATCCCCCAGGAAATGCCTTTTGCTGCTGCAGCAGCACAAGAGGTCGGGCTGTTCCCGGGAGCATCCCGCATGCAGCTCCCATCCTCTCTGMTGCCCACCCTRTGGGGCACMAGGAGCTCCCCAACAGCCCCTSCARYTCCCCAGCAGTGAGCACAGACAGCAAAGGCTGCATTTCCCTCCTCCAAGGGATGGCACAGAGCCCTGGATGGCAGCAGCGAACCGCAGCCATCGCCCTCTTCCATGCCCTGCAAAGATGCCCGGGTAACACAGGCTGGAGCAATTCTGCGTTTTGTCACTGTTTCAGTACAACCCACGCCTGAGGCCGAGCTTTGTTCGATAAATCGCACACCCATTTCCCCTCCCGTCCTGTTAACAGCTCGCTTTCAGACAAAGCCCAGTCAGTGCCTGTGCTAAGTTCCTGCTGAAGCTCAGCTCCCCCCACGCTGTCAGCCTTTGCAGTTTTCCCAAACGCAATCAACAACCTGGCCTAGGGCTTATCTACCCTCTTCCAAAATTCTTAATCTGACACCTAATGATGCATTAATCACTGTCAGACCACGCTCTTTTGTTTCTGCTTCTCTGCAGGCATGTCAGAATCACAGAGGATTAATTATTCTCTAGCCCGGGTACAGAAGCTCAGCCCCTCTGCAGACACTCGTGGATGTTTTGTGATCCCTTCAGCAACCTCTTCACCTGCTCTTCCCCTGCCTCACTCACCTCTCGTGTTTCTAGCCCTGGATGTTGGCTCTCTCTGGTGTAAGAATGGATTCCTTTTCAGCCTCACTAACAGAGAGGATCACCAAAATCCTTCCCTGCAGCATCATCCCAGTTTGGGCAYCCTGGTTCCCAGTTCGTTTAACCACACTGAGAAGGTGCCTACTCTTTCCTTCATATCTGCTTTTATCTGGTTCACCTCTAACCTTCCATACACACAGCACTTGAGAGCATSCAGTATTCACAAGTATAAAACATCCTGCTCAAAATTGACTGACCCTCCCTCCAAAGCCTGTGGGATGATGACCAAACACCAGAGCAATCTCTGGGAGCCATCCAAGCTCCACCTCAGCAGACAAAGCAGCTGCATCCCTTCTTCGAAAGAGCCTTGACAAACTGGGACACAGCTCCTCTTCTGCATCTCAAGAGCCTGGGCCCAGCTGTCCACAGGAAGTGACACCCCCAGGAGATGGAGGGACATCAAGGATTCATCCCCACATGGAAGCTGTAAGGGTTTATGGATGCTGGTGCAGCATGAAGAGTCTCTGGAGATGGTACAGTTTGACACAGAAAAGCTGCTCCACACACAAGGCACAGCTGKTTCCAAAAGGAATTAAACTACACCTATCTAAWWTWTTTTTTKTAATTAAAGCTTTTTCTCAAAWGCAAACTACTTCCATGAACAGTGGGGTTGGATCTGCATTGGCTGAGCCTTCTCTGCAGCAGCAGYCAGGGAAGTCCATTCAATCACCCATCACTGCTGAGCACTGCCTGAGGAAGTCTCTGTTCTCCCTTCCTTCCATGAGAATTTCTGTGCATGATTCAGCAGCCATCTACAAAAAACAATTTGGAAGATGAATGAGTTCACTATGACAGAGGGGAGGAAGACAAGAGATCATCACTCTGGGTGCATGGGGAAAGTTTCAGCAGTGCTTGGATCACACAGTGCTCTTTCCATTTCTCAAACACATCCCAGGTGCTGGAGTCCTTCAGTTCCTGTTTTCCTCTCTGTGATAAGGACTTAGGAAGCAGAAATAGACAAAACCAAGAAGGAAACAAAATTAAGTATTTGCAGATGATGCAGTAGCTTCTTTCTAATAATCCTGGAGTRTGTCAGCTTTACAGAAGGAAAATGCTTGGCACAGTGTCATCGTGCTGCCAATGACAGAACAGATGGTGGAAATGTAACCTGACACAAGGGTACCTTTCCTTGTGGGGAGATTTTGCTCACAGCTCCTTCCCAGAGAGAAATCTAAAGCAGGAACGTTTCTTGCTCCCAAAACTGGAATTCTCTGTGTGTTACCATGCTGAAGATTTACCTGTTTTATTTACACTTTGAAATTTCCTCTTGTAAAGAAATTCCACAGGTTCCCACAGCCGTAGCATTGCAATGGATCCCCATCTGCTGGAATGTTGATGGAATCAATTGTTGCTCCAGCCAGGGCTCCCTGGGCTGCTGTGCTGCTCAGGAACCTCTGAGAACATGGCTGAGTCTCCTTAGAGCCTCACTTCTCATATATTTCTGAATTTTAATGGACTCGAGTGGTTTCAGCTGCCAGCTGACACTGCAGAAAGGACAGGGCCAGACCAACCCACGCTTGTCCCTCCCCACCAGCAGCTCTATTTGTGGCCCTGTGGAGTGCCAGAAATAAACTGCTTTCCTTGGAGAGACCCACAGGCAGTGYTGGGCTCTCCACAGAGGGCACAGCAGCCTCTAAAACACCCATTTTKACTCTGATTTCAAARTGCTCACCAAGGGGTTTTAGAAGRCTGGAAGTGCTCTTGGGAGTCGTGRTGAGGTGGGAAAAGGTARAACTTCAAWKTGTGTCCCCTCCTCATCCTYGGAAAGCAGTYCTKCAGGGTGTGCCTGCTCCCTCTCTCATCTCTCCTAGCTGGAAGATCCCAGGCTCACAAGTGCAGTGCTGAGTCTATTTTAAATGACTCATTAATGTTTGCACACAAATGCCAGATGCTTGCTTTTTAAATAAACAAACAAACAGAAACCTCAAACACCCTCCAATAGATGGAACATCTTTTCCTACAGTGAAGGCCACAGGTGGTTGCTTGTGCAGGACAGWGGGAGAAGGTTCCTCAAAATCCTACTTTATAAACATTTCTACTCCTTTCCTCAGCCCTTCCCCTATCACACAGGTGGGGACTTTGGGGAGGGATGGAGGTTATTTCTTCCTACAGCACTTAGGAGGGGAGGATCTTGGAGGACAAGAACACAGCTGATGGGCTCCAAGGGAAATTAATCCCAGTTAGTCCTGAACTTTGCTACAGTTCCCACAYTCTTTGCCTCATGAAAATGGCAGTGTTATACAAGAGATAAACAGTGGGTGCACAGAAATGGGCAATGGCAGAGTTTGGGGCCAAAAAACTCAGATTCAAAATTGCAGGGAAGGTGACAGCAGTGGGAATTGGTCTCTCAGTGTTTGTTCCATGAGCTTTACTYCCATGTGTCAGCTGCCAGGTGAGGGCAATGCCCACTGCCCCATGAGCACACAGCATCCTTCCCGTGGGGATCTGTTCACACATGCTGAGCTAAACCCACACCAACAATTGCCATCACATTTTAAATAAAGAAAAGGGAAATGTACATTCATTTTATGTCATGTGCAAAGGCAGCAGCTACTGAAGGCAAGAGGGATTCAGGTGAGCGCACCGTGAGATGTGACTGGAATATGTTTCCTCTGAAGTGCTATAATCASAGTAGTAATGTATTCCCTTTTTTTTCCCCTAAGACTGGGAAATCACGTTTTAGTGCCTGCCACGAGACTGTCAGGATCAGCATTTCAAGTAGCAATTCAGCCTTTATCAACATTCAACAGCGTTGTAAGTCAGGAATAATTAATGTTACATTAACATAGAGTTATCGGGAAAGGTAAGGCTGTAAGCATTCAACATCAGATTCATTTAGCATTTCCTGCTATAATGCCATCAGCAGGAAGTATTTACCATCAATATCAACTTCAGGGGGGTGTTCCAGGACAGCCAGGAGCAGTTCAGGTGTGCCACCCCTGTACCTGCCACCTCCCAGCTCTTCAGAGCTCTTCAGTCCACTGCTCAGAGCACCATCCTGGAAAGCTCATGCGTTTGCCTGTGTCAAAGCAGAAAGAAATATTTCTGTAAAAACCACAAGCACTTTGCTATGGTATCTCCAAGATTAATATGGGGTTAAACTATTTAGAAAGATAGATGGATGGATGGATGGATGGATGGATGGATGGATGGATAGATAGATAGGTAGGTAGATAGATAGATAGATAGATAGATAGATAGATAGATAGATAGATAGATAGATAGATAGACAGACAGACAGATAATCTTACACAGTGCACAGAGAAATGACAGATGAGAATTGTGGAATGATAGAGAAGAGTCTCTAGAGCCATATTTTTATATTTATGCAGATATATATGTGCATAAAATCATATTCACACATCCATTCAGTACAACAGTGAAACTGTGGCTTATATAGAAACTGTTTCTTGACTTTTCAGTGGATACATCAGATAGTGTGTGAATCACAGCAATATATATATATATAAATACACAAATTGATATCAGTTCAGTCTAAGGTTCTTCCTCACGACAGAGGAAGACCTCTAATTTTCTTAACATCTGGAAAGGATTCACTGTCTTTCAGGACAGTCAAGAGGCCTGATTCCTGCATTTGTGTTCCTTCTGTCTCCAGGGCTATTCCAGTACAGCTAAAAGGAAAGGAAGCCTGGATTTGGGGTTTGGCTAGGCARGGTTGCAGTAATTGTTTAGTGGGACTTCCAAACATGCCCAAGGCTGCTACTTACGCTGACATTACCAGACACACTGGAAAATCCCTGTAGCTACTTAAGTCTCACTTGTAACAGCATGGGACATGTGAAAGAGCGCCTGGAGACAAAACCCCACTGAATTTCAGTGGAACTGGGATACCTGGACCCAGGAAGTTCCAGCAAAACCTTGTATCACCAAGCCCTCACCATGCTGCTGGCCTGGACTTCCAGGGATGGGGYATCCAGAGCTTCTATGGCCAGCCWATTCCAGTGCCTCACCACCCTCTGAGCAAGGACTTTGTCCCTGATATGTGACCTAACCCTGCCCTCTGCCACTTTAAAGCCATTGTCCCCATCCTATCACCACATGCCCTTGCCAAAAGTCCCTCTCCAGCTYTCCTTCCCCRGCTGCAATTGCTCCACAGCAGGGGTGCAAAGAACAGGGAACAAGGAAAATGCAATGAACCTTTGCTCTGTGAGATAAGCCCCAAAGGGCAGCTCCTGCCCCATCARTCACAGAGCTGATGTCAGCAGCCTGCAGGGAAGTGGGTGAAGGAGCAAGACTGGCTCAGGAGAGAAAACACCTCAAAGTGCTGGGGGCATCTACTGTAGTCTCCTTGCTATGAATGGGGCTTTAAATGCATCAAACATTTCTTGAACAAACACCAGATCTGTCTTTAAAATAAAGAAGAGCTCTTCCTATGAGTAAAACAATGTTAACAATGTGCTGCTTGGAATTATATCTGGATAGGCACAACACACTGCMTCCTTCTGGGGCCTGCAAAGGAGTTTGATGGCCACAGAGACATTTCTGTGTGAGATTGTCTCCTCAGTGCAGGGATGAGAGCAAGGCAAGCCAGCCTGTTGCAGTWTAGGATGCCACATTCCCCCTGAATCCCAATCCTGCCATTCCTTAGTGAGTGCCATGCTTGTTTGACCGTGTACAGACCAAATGCTGTAGAAAAATGTAAATATTTTTATGGCCTGGCTTGCTTAAGAGCCTTTCTAAGGGGAAAGGAATGCTGTGCACACACACAGCAGAACAAATGTAATGAAAGCCAGAACCCAGAGATATTCTCTAGCCCAGAGACAGAGCGCTTTGCGTTGCTGAAGGGTGGACATTTGGTACCTCACAAAGACAGCATGAAAGTGGAGATAACACAATTAATAATGAACTCTGCAGCACAAAGCACTGTCTCCATCACCATGACCTCACTCTCCTCACGGACAGAACACAGAGCTATTCACTCATCTCCTCTTGCTTTTGAGAAGCGGGCCAAGTGCCCACTTCACTCCGTGCTGCTGCAGAGTTTTGGTGGTGACAGAGCCAAACTCCTTTGGAGGTGACAAACAGCAGTAACAACAAAAAAAAAACACTCCCTGCATAAAATAAAGTCAACAAAAGTCCTGGTTTGAGGTGCCCAAGGTGTGGCCACCGAGAGTTTACAGGAACTGCAGTTTTCAGCTCTCTCAGCACAACACTGTTTAACAAAGACCCTTCCCACTGGGAAGTGCAGTCCCCAGCTGAGAGCTACCAAGGTGGCAGAAGAATCACTGCTTGCTGTCAACACAGCAAGATCTACATCCCTTCAGCAGCAAGGTCACAGGCAGCCAGCACCACCAGCAGCTCACWAAAGCACCCAAAGCAGCCCAGACCTGCCTCACCCTGCTGTGTCTTTGAATGTGATGTTCCCATCAGCTCTGAAAGTTGGAGCTTATTTTATGTTGCACCTCCTTKTCTTTTCAGATGTTCCCACCACAGCTGGGCACAGCCTCTGGCACAGGGGATCACCCCATGGATTCAAYCCCCATGGATCCCTCCAGGAGGCTGCACACTGGGATGCAGCTTCACCCAGGCCAAGGAAGCCATGCCAGGCATGCAGAGTTTTGGAGGAGAGCCCAGGTGCAACACCAAATAAGAGGCAAGAGAGGTAAGCCCTGCACAAAGCTTGGCAGAATCCTAATGCACCTCRTTTCTTTAGATGCATTTATTTCATTATATCTCTTCACATCATCAGTGCCTACCAAGTTCAAGTCTAACCTGGGGGGAAAAGAAAAGACTTAGGAGGATGGATTAAAGCCCATTGAAAATATTAAAGCCATTTTCACAACTRAACATTAAAAATAATTCAAGTTGTTTCCTCAAATGTAAATACTATAATTGTGGTAAATGTAAGGCTGTTTCTCCCCGTTTAAATGAGTCCTTGGTCTTGCCAGAATGCTGGGAGAAAAAAAAAAATCAAGTAGACAGGATTTAGGTGGGCCAGGATGAAAGCACAAACATTATGACAGCTTAATTGAAATCGCAGGGTGCAGGGTCTCTGGCAACAGCAGCCCAGCTGCTTTCTTGACTCCTCCAGCTGTTGGGAGACCCATCCCTAGGCTTGTAGTCCAAAAATGCCACTGGAGCAAATCCTCCCAACCTTTTCCCTTTGACTCTGGGGCTCCAGTGATTTGTTGCTCCCTGACAAACAGCCTCATCCTTCAAATGTGGGAGGCAGCCCCTCTGACCCCTCCAGGTGCCCTCTGCCTCCTCCCCTCACTCCCACCCTGCTCCTCTGCACCTCAAGGCACGGAGGAAGCTAATCCTTCCCCCTTCCCTTCCATCAGCAGCCTCTTTGCTCATTGAGCAGGGACCCGAATTTCTCTGGCCCTTGGGTACTCTTGGGGCCTCTTCCCATGGCTCTGAATTGAGAAAGGCTTCCAAGAGCTGAGTGCAGCTGCAGCAATGAGCCAGAGAGCTGCCAGGCCACTCATGGTCACGTTGGTGCCCAACTGGGGGCTGCTTCCCTCGGGATTTTCACGTGGCCCTGCTCCCCTTTTCCTGCTCTTTCTGGTTTTGGTTACAGCCACATGTGAACAATGCACCCTGTGTGCACATTTCCCACTTGGTGCACAGGCTTGTAAAACACTTKTAATATGTGATTTACAAGGGTTCTGTTTTGGGCTGAAATTGTTCCCCTCACGAGCTGAGCAGGGGTGAAGTGGCTGGAGGTGTTTATGGAGGGCAGGGGGGAGGTGAGGAGCAGGGCTSAGGGCTCTCAGGTCACTGGCAGCTCCAGCATCTGGCACCAAAGCCTGTGAGAAGCAATAACAAAACACCAYCATTCCCCTCTGAACTGGCATTAGCCCCAGCAAAGCATCCCCGCTTCCAGAAGTGACATTTTTTGAGGATAAGAAATGTTTGGAGATGGTCAAAAGCACAAGCAACCAAAAGCCACAGCAGCGTTTGAGTCAGATCTGTTTGTGACCTTTTCTTCCCCAGAAAATTGTAAAAAGTGCTACCAGAAACATAAAAGAAATAAACAATAGCATCTTGATCAAACTGTATCACATGGAAAAACAGCACCTGATAATTGTATAATAGAAATAGATTTGAAAAAAGAATTCTCATGAAAAATAACATTTAATTCAGAAGCATAAGGCCGCCCCAGTTTGTTATCACTTTAGGTCCCTAAGTTCCAAGTGCTCAACTAACTACATTAGACAAAGTATCCAAAGTCAGCTCCTTGCTCAACTTTAATAAAGTTTCAATTGGAAAAGATAATATAAACTTCCTGTCCTAGAAAAGGCTACCAGAGGCAATTAAAGCAGCGGGGGAAGGTGGCAGTGCTGTACTCTGACCAACAGATGCAGCATTCAAGTCTCCTTCACAGTATTCTGAAAGGGAAGACTGCTGTGCTTTGATTTTATAGATATGTATTACAAGATGATGTAATTTCCACTTCAAGTGCTGACAAAACACACTTAAGGAGTTCTTGCCACAGTGGAAGTGCAGGGAAATGTTTCAGAGCTCTCCAGAAAGCTTAGCTGACATGACTTCTTAAAAGGTTGAAGTAATGCACAAGGCTTTTTCCCCTTCAGAAATATCTGTCTCTCACCTGAACTGCATCATTATTTATTTTATTTTATCTTATTTTATTTATTTTACTTTATTTTATTTTATTTCATTTTATTTCCCAATACCAGTTCCTGGAAACCACAAAGGGTAAGGGAGTCCACAGCTTTCAAAAAACAAAACATTTCTCTTGGCATTTTGATTACCAACACTGCCACTGCATTCCATGTGCAAAAACAGGTTTCTGAGAATGTGAAGACTTTTAAATAAAACACTATGGCTCAGCAGACTTATATTTTCTAGCTACACTTGAAAAAACCCATGCAACCTTATTCCCCTGAAAATTACAGTAACACATTTATTTTGGCATTCATTCTCCTCCTGCTTCTCTCCTCTCCACACCCGAATGTCAACATTAGAATTTACAACCTGCACAAAGCAAGTGTGTCCAATTGTTTTGCTTTTCARCCATGCATTGGCCATGGCCTT